AAAAAAAAAAAAACCCTAAGACGAACTCAATCTTGTATAATTTCAATTATTCGATCTCCCTTGTGAAATTATCAGAATGAACATAAATATTCTAGCGACAGATCGGTGGATCATCTTTTATAAATATTACAACAAAAAAACATTTTTATTAATTCCTTTATTTCAAATTTCACTTTATACAACGTATGTAAAATGTATCGTACAAAAAATAAAGAACATAATTTAGTCTTCTTTCTCCAGTTTTCATATATAAGACGCTTAAGTCGCGTCATTGTAGTAGAACCGATCCTTCTTTGAACAAAACAATAGAAGAAGAAGAAAAATGGGAGATACAGAGAAAGGTAAATTGACTTTTATTTTCCAGTTCTTGGTGATTTGCGGTTGCTTGCTGGCGGTTGGACAAGCTGGCGTGATCGGCGGTAGTTTGCTCGCAGCCGGGCCGGCAGCGGTCGCGGTACAGCCAGCAGCAGCCCTTTCTTTGCCCGCAGCCACTGTCGCATTACCAACCATCGCAACATCCACCTCCAACATAATACGGGGTATCGGTAACTTAGGTGCCATATCGGCCTACACGAATAGTGTAGACACGCCGTTCAGTAGCGTCAGGAAAGCGGACGTGCGCGTTAACAATCCTGGAATCGTGACGGCGACCGCTGTGCCCGTCGCGGTTGCAAATACCGCTCTCGCAGGTACCCGCTCGAAGAGGTGCCGATTTACTCTCTAACATTCACAATCGTAGCCTGTTATGTTAGACGATACTTAGCGGTGCTGCACTTTTACACTACTTCTTCTAACGAAACTTCAAAATTTCATCGAACAACAGATGTCCTTCACGCATTAGAATCGATATTCTGTTAGTCCGCTTTTCTCGTGTTTTCATTTTCCTTTCTGTTATATTAACTTGTTCCACATTTTCCCACGATCTTTCTTTTGTCTTATTACTGAGCGTATCATGCTTTATCGTACGATTCCTGTGCGATCAACTATATTTAACGAGTATGATTAGAAAATATAATAACGGCAACATTATTCGCTAACTAAGGCAATAACCGGTAATCGTCTGAACGACTTTTTCTCTTCGAGTCCGATTTAATTGTAAAATCTAATTGCTACGATTGTTTTGCGCGATGATTCCAGCTCCAGTGGCTACAGCTGCTGTCGCTGCTCCCGCACTTCTCGCACCTGGATTGACCACTGCCCTTGCAGCTGCACCCGCTCTCACTGCTGGCTTAGCGGCCGCACCTTTAGGACTCCAAGGCTTAGCCTTGAGCGGGCTAGGTGCCGTCAAGGTTCTCTAAAGTCCGCGCTGAAATTACCACAGAGCGGCGGAGAACTCGATGGCGAATCGTTGTTACTACCTAAACGATCTACTTTGTCACAGAATGTAATAATCGAATATTCAATAAACGTACAATCGTTACTCTATATAATGCTTGCACCGAATTTATTTATTTCAATTTGTTCGACTCTTTTTAACGAGTTTAATCGAACGAAGCGTTCCATGGTGCCAAGATTTCTTGTCTTTTTAGGTGATAACAGAATTTCGGGTTTCTATGCAAGCTTATATCTTTGAGGCGGTGGCCATTGTATACTATTCTTCAATTCTATCAACATATCCTATTTGAAACAAGGTGAAACGCGTGAAATAATTAATAGGGGAAATAAGAAACGATGAGACACAACATGTTACGTTTCAGTAAGATTTGTATTTAATAAATAACAGCAGAGAAAGTATCTTAAATACAAATACAACTGTAATGATTATCAGAGAAAGTGGTCCAGGGAATTTAGAGGACAAAGTGATTACCAGGAGTAGGAGATGCCGATGGGACTGCTGTAGGCCATGTGCGAAACAGCCACCGCTGGCGAGTAGGCGACGCCAAGGAGCGAGTTTGCGGGAGCAGCGGCGGCTAATGGTGCTGCCAGAGGTGCTGCCAAAGGTGCTGCCAGAGGTGCTGCCAGGGGTGCTGCATGCGTTGCTACTGGAGCAGCGTATGCTACTGGAGCAGCGTGCGCATAGATGGCCGGGTTGGATACACGAATGTCGGATCTGCTGGTGCTCGAGAACGGGGTGGCAATTGTCTTCGATTGGGTGGCGATTTGTGCCAGATTTCCCGAGCTACGAAGAATATTGTCCGATGTCGACGTTAGAGCGGCGGTAGTCAAAGCATATTGTCCAGGGGCTGGTGCCAAGAAACCGGCGTTGCTCATGGCAAGAACGCAAGCGAGTACCACGATCTGAAAATAAAATCATTTGAATGAAATCCTTGTTACCCTCTTATTCTTATCATCTTTCTTTTTCTGTTTCAAATACATATACCGCACATGAATTTACATCAAAAGTGTTGGAAGAACATCGTCGTCGAAGAATGATCTCGAGAGCTAAGGATGGAAAATTGTGAAAATAATATCTGATCGTTGTTTTCCGAAGTCTGTTCTTTTGCCAACATTTCTAAGTTTAAATTGTTTGAACACTTTTGACATATGTGTACGATATGTTACTTCAAATGAAATGTATGTTACAATCTTAAGTTTTGTTTAGTAAATTACTTTGTATCGCTTACCTTCGAGAACATTGTGAGTCTGAGAAAGGACCTTGATCGATTCGTTGACAATGTACGAAAGCAAGTGTGTGACGATCCTTTGGTAGCCGAAATCTTATATAGTCCGTTCAGTTAGGTGAACGAAATACGCGAACCAACTGAAATCAGGTGGGGCACAAGGGCGTGTTTCGAACGAGTACCGAAAAAAAAAACTTTCTCCATAGGAATATGCGTAATCGTTTGTATACTTTCCTCCGTCCGTGCTCTCCTTTTTCTTCTTTCTCTCTCTTTCAATAATATATCCTTAACTTATCCCTCCCCGACCTTGGACTAAA